AGATGCTGGCGTTTCTGCGCCGGGTGTGCAGGGCCTGGACTGCTTCCTTCTCCCCCCACAGTTCAAGCAGGGTCAGGACCTCTGTCCCTGACCAGGCTGGGGCTCTCTTTTTGTCGCCTGTGGGCACCAGGGTTGGCTCCCTCAAAGGTTCTTGGGGGCCTCGCGGCGCTGGAGCTGCACACATGGCCACGTGCAGGTGACGCTGGGAGAGCTCTGGGCTGACAGGCTCTCACAGTGGCCAGCTTCCTGTCACAATGCCTGCCAGGGATGTCTGTGACTTTAAAACATGGCTACAGACAGGACCAAGAAGAGGTTTTTCCTAAAGAAGGACTGTCCAGCAGGGGGCTTGCTTGGAGGACTTTTTCTGTCGACAAAAGAAACCCCCGCGTCCAGACTGCCCTTTTTGTCGACAGAACTCTGTTGACAAAGACGTTATGCCTCGTAAAATGAGGTTTACCAGCGTCGACAAAACTGCTGAGTTCTGTCGACGTTATGTTGACAGAACTCAGTGGTAGTGTAGACGCTGGTATAGTTTTATCATCAAAAGTCCACTTTTGTCGACAAAACCCTGTAGTCTAGACACACCCTTAATAATACCACAGGATAATTCATCCTAAAAAGAGCAAAAGGAAATGTAAGGAACAAGTTTTGAGCATTTAGAGGGGATAGTTGTTTACAATGAATATGCTAAAACTCATCTTATGAGTAACATATTTCTGTCCAGCTCTCACTCTACCCAAGAGAGAAGAGGAAGCAGCCATGTTTTAGGCTATCAAGTTAAAGGATAAAGCTCACAAAAACCAGGTTATTCTCAGTGTCAATGAGACTTAAATCATGGCATCTTTAAAACCATGATTCAACAAAGCACTTTAAATTGATGTATTTGAAAAGCATATTTAAAACTTGTATTTACTTATACTATTTTAAGTGAAAATAACTAACCTGTTGAACATAAATTCTTCTAACATAACTGAACTCAACATTTTGTTAGTTATCAGCATTTTAAAGACTTTTCTTAGCTTAAAACGCTTAGCATGGAATTCTACGTATTCATGTACAACACACTCTGGTACATCTTGTTTACTGAATTGGTCCCAGAATAAGAGACACAAGGTTGGTGAGATAATATCTTTTATTGGATGAACGTCTGTTAAGTTTATGAAGCTCAAAAGTTTTTCTCTTCTACCAACAGAAGTTGGCCCAGTAAAAAGATATTATCACAGCCACCTTGTTAATCTAATACAGCTTCATATTTTATAATGTCAGAGTACATTAATTATTAGGCACATACTAATACTATGAATAAGTGTTAAAAGAACTGATATTCAATCAATAGTTCATAGTCATTTAAATAGCATTTTTATCTCAGTTTGAGCTCCTTACATACGGTTGATTCCCTAGGGAAATTCTATGTAAGGCAAGGGAAGTAAACAATTCCCTCCCCACCCTAAGAGGATACATGAAAACACCTAAAAAACAAAAGGACTTTAACAACAGAGGTGGAGGAGAACTGCTGGCTCAGGTCAGAAAGGATATCTCTGGCCTGAGGACTTTATTTGAAATATGAACTAGCATGAGAAATTATGATTAGCGTATTAAAATTAATTTGTGTGTTTTGCTTTGTTTTATTTTCTTTGATAACTTACATTGTTCTGTCTGCTAACTCTTATGACCACTCAAATCCTACCGTTTATATTTAAGTTATTTTTGTTTATTAATAATCCAAGTGTAAATAATTGTTACTGAGGAAGGGGACAAACAATTGTGAATATCTCTCTTTCTTTGATAAAGGGGGTGAACACTTTATGAGCTTGCTCTGTATAAAACTTCATACAGAGTAAGAAGAATTTATCTGGAGTCTGTTCCCATTGGGGCTGTGCATCTGTTTGCTCTGGCAAGTCCCTATGGCTGAGCCTTCTCAGAGCTGAGCTGATCTCAGTGCCTATATTACTCTGCTGTGGGTTGTGACCACAACTCTGTGCCATTGCTGGAGGAGACCAGAAGAACAGGGTGGTGGGACACTCTCACAAGACAGGTTGGCAGGCTTAGTGGTATTTCAGCACATCAAGTGACATCTCAAGGGGATCTCTGTGACCAAATTCATCATACCCATGTTTGGAAGACCCCACAGAATGGGGAAAGAATTAAGATTGTTATTATTATTTATTACTGTATTGTCTTTACCTCTAAAAATTGAGAGAAATCATTGGCCATCAAGATTGCATTGCCATGCTCTTCTAATTAAAAGATTAAAGCATTCTTTATGGTTCCTTCTAGACTCTTCTTGAATCTGTTCCAACAAGCATTTTTCCAAATGCAGAGCATGGGGTAAGAGTTGTGAGAAACAAAAGAAATGACATTATGCTTTATAAAAGTAAAAGTGCTAAGAAATGGACTGGAGGGAAGTCACAAAGAAAATGTCAAAGCAAATTAAACTTTTTCAAAATACTTATTTTTAATAACAACAGATCCTCAGAAAAACACCTTACATTATTCTATGTCAACAATTTCATGTTTGTTGTTTTAGCATTACTGATTATAACACAAAGGAATGCTGTTGGAGTTGGCATTGATTTGTTAAGTGATACTGATTTAATGAATACCTGCAGCATCAAGAGGAAAATTTCTGAACAAAAATAGAGATATCTAGAAACTGTATGGTTATCTTACAATATAATTGCTTTGTAGAGTGTAAGTCCATGAAATATTAAGAAAGTCAAACCATGAAACAAGCTTAAAATTGGAAAATACAGCTTTAGTAATTTGGATCTGAAACATCAGAATTAGAATTTTTATAGCATCTTGTTCTAGGACCAAAAACTGACTTACAAATGTAGATAAGGAGTACTACCCCCGCTGTACAGAAAGGAAAACCAAGGCACAGAACATTTAAGTTACTCACCTGAGGTCATGCAATTGATCAGTGGCAAAAAACTCAAGTTTCCTTATTTCTCATTTCCTACTATAATGACTAGAAGAGCATGCTGCAAGGTAAACACTGCAGAATGTGAGATGTTTTTAATGTAGCTTCTGAGATCTTGTGGAACTTTGAGGAAAATAAATTTACTTTCAAGGATAAAAGTATTCTTTATTTCATTGTCTGTTTTACATTAACTTTAATCATTCTTGGCATTTGAAGTCCTTGGTTCCTAATACTGTGTAAAAAGATGCAACTACACTTTCCATTCAAAGACAACTGGCAGCAAGTCTAAATTCATACAAATACGGTTCATAGCAATCTCCAAAAAAGAGAGAAGATAGAATTACTATTATTCTGGCCACTCCTAAAACTGATGGAAAGTAGGGAATCACAAGTGCTTAGGAACTGAGTGCTAAATTCTAAGCAAACATCTATATTTTGACAACGGAGATTAATTTCTATTTTGAACAATCTACTGTTTGAAGTCAGACTAGATCACCTAATGGTATCTTCCAACTTTAAGATCTGTGAATTTAATGTCTATTTTCAAAGAAAAGTATTTTTATATATAAAAACCTTTTAAAAATTAAAAGGTAATTGTTAATTGATCTTTGTTTTGGTCATGTACATTACAGTTTTAGAGTTTGAATGTACCTTTACAAGCCCTAGGCCTCAATTCAGGAAAGCATTCCTGTTTAAGGGCACATTTACACAGCAGGGCTAAAGCTGAAATAAGCTATGCAACTTCAGCTACGTCAAATGCATAGCTTAAGTCGAAATAGCGTACTTTAGCTTTTGGCACTGTCTATACAGCAGGAAGTTCAAGAAAGAACACTCTTCCTCTGACTTTCCTTACTCCTCGTAAAATGAGGGCAATAGGAATCAGAGTAAGAAGTCCTCCAGCTTGACATTATTTTGACATTATGTCGAAATAACTGCTTGTAGTGTAGACACGGACTGTTATTCTGAAATAACATGCTGTATAGAAATAGCCCAAGAGAACACCTAAGCACATATGTTAAGTTCCACTGAAGATAATGGGATGAACTTAAACACATTTACTATGCTTTCCTGAACTGAAGTCACAGGGCCAAAGAAGCTATGGTAGTTTTTCCCAATTTAAAAACTGAAGTGCTTACTCTTATGGCTTATTAACTCATAGTTGCCCTCCTGCTCCCCCTCAATTTTTTCCTTCCCCTTCCTCAAAATCTGTAGTGCCAATATAAAACAAATTATCTTAAAGCCCATTTTAAAAAAAGCTCTACTGTTTGCCTAAACTGTTTTTCAAACTTAAAAAAGTAGAAATGAAATGGCAGCATAAAAATATAAAGATTAAAGATAAAATTTTAGCATTATACAGATACACACAAATATTGCTGTGAACTAGCAATAGTGAAATGAAAACAGAAGATAAGAAGGGTGTGATGTTTCAGTTGTAAATTAAAAGACTAACAGGCATTTCAGTTAGTGGCATTTCAACATAATTAGGTCAGGCTAAGTGAAAGAATGACCAGTAACAGGGGGAAGACTTGGGAAAAGAACTCAGAGAGAGGAAGCAAGAACTAAAAAAAAAAACAGATTATGGGAGGAGGAGTAGGTGGATATAGTAGAACAGACCTAAAGCAGAATGAAGGAAATCCATGAAGAATTTTCAAGACCAGGAAAACAATATTTGAATTGTACGTGGTGACAGAAAGCCAGTGAAAGCAATGGAAGTGATACGGTTTCATTTGCCAAAGCAGGAAAGAAATCTGGCTACCTCTGAAGTTCAGAAAGTATTTAAGAAGACCATAAAGAATTTGGTTGCAATAACTGTAAGAACTAATTAAGCCATGAATACATATTTCAGCAGAGGCTACCAAATGTCAGGAGCAGCTTCAGGCAGTTAATGAAAATAGTAGTTGTGAATTTTTCCTCTGATAATGTATTCTTGAACAAAAAAAAACTTTGGGATAGGATTTATTTTCATTCTATGATGCCTGGACAAAGATATATGTAAGATTACATTTGTTAAAATAATTCAGAAAGGACCTACTGATAGACTACTTCTACTGTTACATTAATGTAAATGTTTACCCACCGTTTTTGGTCATCCTTGCTCATATCAAGATAGCAATTTAACAGATGAAATTCAGCTCCACAACACAGCAATATAAATGTATCTATGTAATAAAACTGTGCAAAGCGTACAGATTTATGGAACATCTCCTTGCCCTGAAATGCAATGTGAATAATTATGACTAGAAACTATATAATATATACTACATATTTTTCATGGAAATTTATAGCATTAAGATATAATAAGTTAACTCGGTAAATATATGCCCTTTTTATTCTCAATACTTACTGATCCCAATGCCTACTTTTTTTAATTTAAATTAACTGGAACCAGTTTAGCAACATATGTAGTTAGTTAAATCTAATATAACCTGGTTTAACTTATTAAACTTCCATTTTTTAAACAGGAATTCAGGGACAGATTGAAGTTAGAACATGGTATGATTGACTGGAGGCATTAAAAGTATGAAGAATTATAAAGTACAGTGATTAAAGCAAAAACTTTCAAAAGTTTTGGGTGCCTCAGTTTTTGTATAACTTGAGACAAATGGGGCCTGAACTGCAAAGGTGTTATGAACCCATAGGTCTCATAGGTGTCAGCCAGAATTATGAGGACTCAGCAACTCAAAGTCACACAACAGGCCAACTCTTGTAAATTTATAGTGAGAGACATGATTTCTAAAGTAAAATTAAGCCTCATTCATGATTTCTCAATACAACTCTCAAATGTCTGGGGGAAATAATCCTGACATTTGAGAATTCCATTTTGAGGTCATAAGCGAGGCTTAATTTTACTTAGGAGTCATGTCTCTCACTATAAATTTACATGACACCTAGGCTATGTCTACACTACAGAGGTTTTTTTTGGAAAAATGACCATTTTGCTGAAAAAACTTCACTTACGTCCACACTGCAATTGCATTTAAAAAAAAATGGAAAGAACAAAGGGGGTTTTCCAACATTGGTAAACCTCTTTCTACAAGGAAGAAACCTTTTTTCCAAAAGAGCTCTTTTGGAAAAAGGTGTGTGTGGAAGGGGAAGAGGAAGTTCTTTCGAAAGAAGAGGAAAGAGAAAAAGCACAGGTGTCCTGATGGCCACTCCATCCATAGTAATCACAGCTTAAATGTGAGATAGCATTCATTCAGTGGATGCTACCTTTCGAAAAAGCAAATCGCTTTTTCGAAGGACTTTGGTAGTGTGGACTCTCTCTTTTGGAAAAAGTTTTTTCGGAAGATCTCTTCCAGAAAAGCTTCTTCCGAAAGAAGCCTGAAGTCTAGACATAGCCCTACTCTGGGTAGCTGTTCCCTTGCCAGCCTGAGAAGTGGGAGAGGGGACCAATACTGCACCCCCAAGCCTGGGGAGAGCGAAGAGCCCCTAAGAGGAACAGAGATGAGGTTGGGAGGGCTGAACCATGGCTGAGAGTGAGGTTTGGGGCTGATGTGAGGAGGGGCTGTGTTGATTGTGGGTTCTTGCAGATGGGATGAGTGCTTGGAGGTGATAATGGGGACTGGAGAACTAAAGTGAGGGGGAGACAAATTGAGAGGGTTTACTTAGGTGGGAACAGAACTGATGAGGGACTGGATTAACTGCTGGGTAATAGATGGAAAGATATCAGGGTGAGAGTTCCTGCAAGCAGGGGCTAAAATCACCTTATCCAGTACATGTGGGATAGTGGGCTACCCTAATTGTCACATCTATAGACCTTGGAGATGGGTGGGGAAAGTTCCAAAAATCCAGACTAACATAAAAACACAATACAAACTTTTAAAATACCTCATGATTTTGGGAGGGATCTGACTCGTGATTTTTGTTCTCTTGAAACTGGCAATACGGAGTCAAGCACAGTGTCCCATAAGCTGGGCTTCCAAAGAAAGGGAGTTTTGGTACTGATGAAATACAGGATAGGACCTACTACGTGTCTAACTGACATGAGTTTCTCATTACCAGAAATAGGGCAGGTTCTCTACTGCGGACTGACCAGATCCTTAATGTTCTGTCTTCTGATGCAGAAACTAACCACTTCTTGTCATGACTCCAGCCGACAGAGTTAATTGCACCATCATGACCTAACAAAAATAAAAATGAAAATATCAGACAATCTATTTCTCACATTAATCCAGACACAACCATGCTTATGTGATATAATTATTCAGCATTTTAAAAATGCCTTTTATACATAGGTTTCAAAGAATTTGATTTTTTGGGTGGACATTTTTCTCTCCACCCAAAAACAGATGAAAAATGTCTTTCATTAATAATCAAAATTTACAATCATAGAATACTTGAACTAGAAGAGACCTCGAAAGGTCATCAAGTCCAGTCCCCTACCCTCATGGCAGGACCAAGATCATCCCTGATAGATAAACCTCTAAAATGTTTTTAAATATCTTCAATGATGGAGATTCCACAACCTTCTTAGGCAATTTATTCCAATGTTTAACCACGCTTACAGTTAGGAAGTTTTTCCTAATGTTCGACCTACATATTTTTTCTCCCCCCTCCTTGTAACAGCTTTTTAGGTACTTGAAAACTGCTATCATGTCCTCTCTTAGGCTATGTTTACACTACAGATTTTTTTTGGAGAAATGGCCCTTTTTCCGAAAAAAATCAGAGCGTCCACACCCCAAGCGCATTTTTATGCAAAAAAAATTGAAAGAACAGAGGGGTTTTTCGGTGTTGGTATTCTTCATTCTACGAGGAAAAACATCTTTTTGCAAAAGAGCTCTTTCACAAAAAGGTGTATGTGGACAGGGAAGAGGAGTTTTTTAAGCAGAAGTAGGAAAGAAGAAAAAGCACAGGTGCCCTGGTGGCCATTCTGTGCAAAGCAATCAGAGCTTACTTTCGAGAGAGCATTCATGCAGCATGGACGCTCTCTTTCACAAAAGTGCTTCACTTTTTCAATGTGCTTTTGCAGTATGGACGCACTCTTGAGCAATAAATTTTTGCAGAAGATCACTTCCAATAAAAGCTTCTTTCGCAAGAAGCCTGCAGACTAGATGTAGCCTCAGTCTTCTCTTTTCCAAACTAAATAAACATAGTTATTTTCATCTTCCCTCATGGGTCATGTTATCTAGACCTTTAATAATTTTTGTTGCTCGTCTCTGGACCCTCTTCAATTTCTCTGCATCTTTCCTGAAATGTGGTGCCCAGAACTAGACACAATACTCCAACTGAGGCCTAATCAGTGCAGAGTAGATTGGAAGAATTACTTCCTGTGTTTTTCTTACAACACTCCTGTTAATGCATCCCAGACTCATGTTGGATTTTTTTGCAACAGTGTCACACTGGATACGTCTATACTACACAGTTCTGTGTCCAGGAAAGGCATTTGCTATTCCACTTTTTTTGCGGAAGAGCAAATGTGTTCTTTCGAAAGCCCCTGTATTCCTCATTCCACGAGGAATAAGGGGGTTTCCGAAAGAGGGTTTTTTCCCCAACATTTGGCCCAGTCTAGATGGGCCAAATATTGGAAAAGACTCTTACAACAAACAAATCGGAAAAAGCTACACAAAATGCAGAACACATTATGCATAGCATTTTCTGAAAAAAAGCGACACGGTAGACCTAACCACTGTTAGCGCTCATTTAGCTTGTGGTCCACTATAACCCCTAGCTCCTTTTCTGCAGTACTCCTTCCTAGTCACTTCCCATTTTGTATATTTGAAACTGACTGTTCCTTTCTAAATGGAGGACTTCAAATTTGTCCTTATTAAATTCCTTTCTGTTTACCTCAGACCATTTCTCTAGTTTGTCTAGACCGTTCTGAATTATGTCCCTGTCCTACAAAGCACTTGCAACCCCTCCCAGGCTTGGTATTATCTGCAAACTTAATAACTATATTCTCTATGCCATTGTCTAAATCATTGATGAAGATATTGAAAGAATCAGTCCCAATACTGCCCCTACAATGTTAAAAAGTATAATAAAAGTATTAAATGTGCACATTTTCCTGCCAATACTATCAGGAAATTAGTGAGAAAATGCTATAAAATAATGTTTTATTCCTGATATTGTTACATATTTGATTTTTATACAGTCATTTTTATTTATGCTAATTTTGAAATACTATCTGAGTATTCTTAAATTCCTGCACTATCAATTTGAGTTAATTAGTACTAAATTCTTCTAAGTGAAAGTTAGTGTCCACTAAAAGTAACAAAAAAATACAGATCAAATCCATTCAAGCTTTTCTATATGTTAGCCAAAGTGCAGCATTTGGCATTCTTTACTGATGCGATGATTAATTAAACAGAGCAGAGTTTTAGCCCACAGAAAGACTTGATTATTGTACCGGTTTGATTGTTTATCTTTTAAAGATCTAAAGACTTCTTTTGCATTTAAAAAAAATGCCATTGGGACTTTCAAAAAGCTCATAAAGGTAATTTGTCTTGGAACATAAAATACATTCTGTAGTTTGATTCAGTTTCTTCCAATAATTGTATTTGTTTCATTGAAAATTAGGTTTATGTTTTTAGCTCTTGATATTAAGTACATTTGTAGAAAATCCTCTCTGGCCACATAAATATGGATATGAAGCCAGGTATTATGAAGTAATTGTGGTGAGGCTGAGTCAACACTTTGCCATGTTATGTGAGGGTTGATTTAAAAAAAAAAATAGGTCTTGCCTCAGACATTGGGATGTGCTTAAAAAGAAAAATGAAAATGAAAAACACTGTATTGACTCTAAATACACTATTGCCAATATGTACTTTTTCATAATATGTTGCTAAAAAGGAGACTGTACAGTTTGTTTGCTTAAAACAACCTGCTCAGATAGGTAATTTAGCAATGCATCAGACTAATACTAGTTAAATTGAATTACAAAGCTTCCCCAGAAAATAGAAGTGCAATATTTTTTTTTCAATTTCAGGTTTCTAAAATTAAAGAATACTATTCACTAATTTATCAGATTCTGTGACCTCTTACCCTTAGAACTCACCCCCATCCCCTGCAAAAGGTGGAACATCTCCAAACTTATGGTACTGGAATTAGAGTTTAAATAGTATGTTTAATTCACTGTATTGGATTCTTGCAGTTCCACTAGGATCTGTGAGAGTTTTGCTGATAAAAGGTCTCAACCTAAAAAACTCTAAATCTAGGAGGTTTTTTCTTCCATTATCATTTAAGGTCTTCAGGATCTGAATCAAGCTCTCTTTTACAAAGTTATCCAAATAACGGAAAGCTAACTAAGAGGCAAAGGGCTTGCATTTTTAAAATGCTGCGCACCTCAATTTATGGAAGATGAATGTACAGGCAGTCCCCGACTTACGCGGATCCGACTTATGTCAGATCCGCACTTACGAACGGGGCCTTTCGCGCCCCGGAACTCGCGGGCGGCAGGACCGCCCAGAGCGCAGCGGTCCCGCCACCGCGTCCTCCGGGGCGAGAAAAGCTGCTCCGGGTCTCCCTGGTGTGCTGGGGGGGACTCCCCAGCACAGCAGGGAGACCCGAGCAAAGCCGCACAGGCGGCGGGACCCCGCTGCCCGTGCGGCTTTGCTCCTTTGCCCCGGAGCAAAGCCGCACAGGCGGGGGACCCCGCCGCCTGTGCGGCTTTGCTCAGGTCTCCCTGGTGTGCTGGGGGGGACTCCCCCAGCACAGCAGGGAGATAGGAGGCAAGCCGGACCCTGCTGTGCTGGGGGGAACTCCCCCCCAGCAGACCAGGCTTTTGTTGCGGGATGCCTGGGGTAGAGCAGCTGGGGTGCTGCCGGGTTGGTCCTGCGGGGACCTACCCAGAAGTGCCCCAGCTGTTCTGTCCCAGGAGTCCAGATTCAGCCGCTGTTGAAACTGATCAGCAGCTGATTCCAGGAAAGCCGGGGGCAGAGCAACTCTGCCTAGGGCTTCCTGTAGTCAGCCGCTGCTCAGTTTCAGCAGCGGCTGAATCTGGAGCCAGTTCCGACTTACATACAAATTCAACTTAAGAACAAACCTATAGTCCCTATCTTGTACGTAACCCAGGGACTGCCTGTATAGGCTTTGGAACCTGATTATCAGAAGTACCGAGTGTTAAAAATTCCAGCTGAAGTCAACAGGGCTGTTAGGACACTTGAAAGGAGTATGTCAAGCAGGAAGAGTATCTATGACCTAAAACAACGTGGCATTTCAAGGTGGTTGTAAAATGGTTTAGGCACGCTTGCACTTGCCTCAGCCCTTGGAGTGTCAGACAAGCTTTGATGCTAAAGAACACAACCCACCACCATCACCAACACTAAGATCAACAACTACAAAATAATCATCCTATTAATTCACCTACAGATTACAGTATCCCTAAACCTAATTTTTTGAAATCAACAGAAAGGAGACTTTAGTAAAGAAATTTCCTTGAAGGTAAAACTCACATAGACAGACAACTCTACATCAAAATAAGGAACCATGGATAGTTATATGCATCCTATTTTAATGGAATTTGACCTGAAGGCAAAATATCTATTTAAATACTGGAATCTGGAAACCATTTCATAACTCTGAGAATACATAGGCTTTACAATGCTATAATTTTATATTTTTATTGCTGAGCAATTTGTTGTTATAACCACAACGAAATAAGTTACTTCCACTTTAGACACTTTAGCAGCAGCTGCTAACTATTTAGAAAAATATTTCAGAAAAAGAGATAGTTATTGATAGCAGATTGTCATTTACAATAGCTATAACCTATAATCAGCAAAACAGTCTATGAAAGAAGCATGTTTTTTCAGTTTGGTTTGAAGCTGTTAAAATAAGAATTAGTTATTATGAAAACAGCACTGAAAAATGAGTGAACTGATAACTTCTAATTTATAATACATTTTCCTACAAATAATTGTGTACAATTCAAAAGAAAACTTACATAAAAGGCAGTTATCCTGTTTGTTAATCTTATTTGCCTATAAGAAATTTATTCAATTTCAGCTGACATTTAAAGTTACTTTGGTGCCCTCTTGTGCATATTTATATAATTCAGTCAACTGCCATTCTGCCTGAAACAGATATTTATATTTCTTTAACTTGTGCTATTGTACTGTGGCAGCATGTAACAAGGAAAAAAACCTGTTGTTAAGGTGTTCAATGAGAAAGTGTACCGATATAACCTGGTTTATAAATTACAGTATTTAGATTGTAAACTCTTCAGGTTGGGGACTTATACCTTTTTCCTATCAACTGTCTAATATATCTTGAATTTTGTTGTACTTCATTATTTATATAAAACTCAACATAATCATTAAGGTAGAGAGGGCATTTCCATTTTATGTGTGTATCACACTGCAATAACTTTCTTACCCAAAAGAATTATATTCCTTCAGTTAAAATAATTAGTATTTATTCTTAGAACAAAAGGAGGCATTTTGTATTATTCAGGTTTTAAAACTGTGTGAAGTTCTATTTAAGTCCCTGAGTTATTGAATGAAACGTAAAGAAAATACAGTAGAACACGACTTCTATTTTCCAAAACTGGCAGGGTATATGACAAACCATAGGTAAATCTGTAGCTTGGAAAACTGCAGGAACTAAGCAGGACATTTGTATTTTCTGCTTTCTAGGTCACAGAACCCCACAGCAGAGTGAAGAAGAAGCCATCTGCTTTAGTAGTCTTCTCTCAGGGCTCCCCAATCCTGAGGCACATTGAATAGGATAATGGATGGCTTTGTAGAGTGACTGGCTTCAAAAGAGACATGCTACCTAAGAGCGGGGGCACCCTAAGCCTACTCTGAATAGGAATGTAGTACAACTACAGGCAATAAAAACAAGTTTAATGTAAACCAGGAGTTCTAGTTAACTGGATTTTATACACTAGGGCTACGTCTACACTGGCCCCTTTTCCGAAAGGGGCATGCTAATTTTCAACTTCAGAATAGGGAAATCCGCGGGGGATTTAAATATCCCCCGCGGGATTTAAATAAAGATGTCCGCCGCTTTTTTCCGGCTTGGGGAAAAGCCGGAAAAAAGCGTCTAGACTGGCCCGATCCTCCGGAATAAAGCCCTAGTCCGGAGGATCTCTTATTCCTACCTCCGGCCAAGCTGGAAAAAAGCGGCGGACATCTTTATTTAAATCCCGCGGGGGATATTTAAATCCCCCGCGGATTTCCCTATTGCTCTCCCACAATGATGTAGTACAAAAAGATGTTTTTCAACAGTCAAAAAATATGTTGAGATGCTTTCTTAGCACTCAAATAACTTAAAGCTGCTGCTACATTTTTCTTATTTATTAATTAAAGTTCAGACTTGCCACAGGTTTACATTCTCAATGAGAATTAGGGCCTTTGACAAAAATGAAGCTGTAAATATATCAATCTAGCATTCTAAATAGCAGCATAGTTGTTTGAAAGTTCATAGGAAGTCAATATGGGATTTCCTGATATTCTGAGATATACAGAACAAGCTACCTGAATGGAAGAAAGCACATACATCTGGTGCTATACAGTTGAACTATCTGATCTCAAACTATTATATTACAATAGTGCATTGATGCTCTAACCAGGGACCAGACCCTATTTTACTAGAGGCTTTGTAAACTTGTATGTAAGAGATGATTCCAGTACAAAAGGCATTTGTAGTCTATAGTAAATGATAAAAAACTGAGGTAAAGGACAGATACAGGTATAGGCCAGATGATAACAATAACAAGCACAAGCAATGAGGAGTGCTGTGGTACGTCAAAGACTCAAAAATGTATTTGGGCATAAGTTTTCATGGACTGAAAACCACTTCTGCCTAGTCATTATCAATATTCTGAATGAATCTTAAGAAAGGATTTGAAGACAGATAAGAATTACAAATCTTTTCAGGGTGTGTCATCTACACAGGCTGGAAAGAGATAAAGAGCACAAATATTTGTGGAAGAAGTGGCAGGTAATGAAGGCTGAGAATACTGATGGGGCAAAGACAGCTCTCAACAAAACAATAAAATAATAAGATAAGTCTCTTTTAAGGTGAGGACAAAAAACATATCTGATACAAATACCTTCTGTTAGAAACAACACCCCTCATCAAAGGTTCTTTTGTTTTTAATAAAAACTCTGGCACAACTATAATTACGGTGCACCTACCATTCCACTCTAAAAAAACATATGTTCCTGAAAAAGCTTTTAGGTGAGCATGAAGAGGGTTTATCTGGTGTACTCCAAAGTTTGGAAGTTATGTCTGCAATCTAGATTTAAAGAACAAATCTCTTTCCTCCTTTGTTTTATTGACAATGCTTATTTTTAAGAGAGTATACTATTACAAATATTCCATAGTTTTTAGTATAACCACATATTATATAATCTTTAATTCAAAAGGGGATACCTTTTAACTTAAAACCCCCCCCACAAAAGCAGAATTATGCAAGTGAAAACTTAATGACTTTCCAACATGTCGGACATCACTCTGGAAGGTAAATCTTCTGATGTTGTCAATAGCTTTTGCTACTTGGGTTCCTGTTTACAGATTATATGGCCTTTATTGCCCACTGTGAATCTCCCCTGCTAAATCTCTTGGGTAGATTTTTTGTGTTGTGTAAGAACTTTGGGTTGACAATTAGTTTCAAGAAAACTGATATATACCAAAGGGTGAAAGAACCGATGTCTGATGTCACTCTGGAGAGTAAATCTCTTGGCATTGTTGACAGCTTTT